GGGCATTATTATTTATCCACGGTGTGCGCGGGGGGTAAATGTCATGTTTAGACAGGAACTATATATCACATCACGTATGGCGCTTGCATGTCACCAAGACAGGGCTGCTTGGTTGACCTTCAAAATAGTTCATCAGAATTAGCAATGCCCAGAAAAAAGGACTTCAGTGGATAATGACTGTGAAATTAGGAAATGGGAGGCCGGGGCTATGCAAATGACAGGACAAGTCATGTGCAAAAGTCAAGATGAACTGCATATTAAGACATAATACAGGGGGGAATTAATATTGCATTTTCCTCCTCGCGCTCCTACGCCTGGTGCTGGCAAAGAGAAATGTGAAGTGTGTGTTGGTCCTGGGTGGGGCTAAAAACCTCCTCCGTTCTCTTGAGGCTGGGAGAAGACAGCACAGTGTAGTCTGGCACTGCTCAATAAAGTTAACGGAGAGCATCAAAGCTGCTCCGTCCTATTTGACACCGCTGCCCTTTCCTCTGAATTTGCAGTACAAGCTGTTCATTATGGCAGTGCTTTGTTTTTGTTTTATGCTACAGTGGGGAGGATGAATAAGGTGATATGCATGCAGAGTGTGTGTCAAGAAAAGCCCCTTAGTTACCGGACGAGGTCTTAAACAGCAAAATCACATTCAGAAATGCATGAAAAATTCAAAGGGTGTCATTAGCTATAAGGCGGCCACACAATTTGGGTAACCTTGGTGAAGACAGACTGTCACCCGCTATGTCCACTCTATCAGCTGCTGACATCAGCCCGGGAGACACAATGCACATTTTAACACACACACTTACGCACATAATATATACATGCACGTACACAAAAGAAGGATCGCCAAAACATGCTAACAACTGCAAAGGCGCTGCACTATCAAGTACATCTTAGTTGCCGTTTGTCATCCGAATGTCAAGGAAAGGAGCTTTTAATGGTATTGCACATCATAGCAGTGAGTGGCAGCATCCAGACACACTCTGAGTCCCCTACGCCGCCGGAGCAATTAAGGCACCCTGACAACTGTGGGGGCTCTTTCAGTGTCACAACAAATCACTTGTTTTGAGGAGTCATGCACTCACACCTTTCTGCTGGGAGTTAGTTAGAGGCCTGCGTGTTCTTCACCGTGGCTCCTCCTCCAGGCACTCTACATCTTCACAATAATAGATTGCTGTTGACAGCGTCTCTAATGAAATCTTCTCACATGACATGTCGTGCGTGCGCGATGAGCCAACCGCAGCATTTTTTTGAGCCAATATTTTAACGTCCTCAGGTATGGCATATTTGCCACGTTGTATGAACGGCGTGCCTCAAGAAGCGGATGATATCCGATGTTTTTGAGTGTTGTTGTGAGTAAGAGGGGAAAGTCGGAGGATGGAGGCTGGGGTGGATGTACGCTGGACGTTTGCTACACAGGCACGATCCACGCCTGGCTGTCTTGTGTCCTTTAACCCGCCTCAGTCTGGTGTGGTGTCATAACGGTTTGAGGGGTTGAAATGTGTGTTTGTTTATTTGTTTGAGGGCGTGTGCAGCTTGTAACACATCAAGATGACACATGAGATGAATTACTAGAATCTAGTCTAAAGCAAGGGGCATACATTATATAATATATATTTAAATTTTTTTTTGTTGAGCAGTATTTGTCCCCGGCAATAGCTTTCATTTTTTCCACATTTGATCAGAGTTTGTCAATGATGCACAACCTTTTGACTATTGCATGCTGGGATAGGCTTTAGCCAACTTGGCTCACATTACCTGCATTAATTCTATACTGTGTTCGTTTTTTTTGACACGTCTCTGCTTGTTTTGTGTGCAGGTTCCAGTTTCAGTGGCTATGATGACACCTCAAGTGATAACTCCACAGCAGATGCAGCAGATCCTTCAGCAGCAAGTCCTGAGCCCTCAGCAGCTCCAGGTTCTTCTCCAGCAGCAACAGGCCCTCATGTTACAGCAGGTAATGTACTGCTGATATTCATGAGTCATTTTGTCGGACAAGGCCTCACACGTCTCGAATGGTAGATGTCACAGTTTGGAATAAAAACCGTCTCATGTATAGACAGCGTCTCACAAAGATAAATTCACTTTGAACCGCTACCCTTGTCTTTTTTCACAACCCGCAAAGACAACATTCCTCAAAGTATTGAAAATTCTCACTAAACCCACTGCTGAGCTTAATATGACTGACACACTCACACTCACGCGTCGCCTTCTTGTCTCTTCTGCAGCAGCAACTCCAAGAATTCTACAAGAAGCAGCAGGAACAGCTCCACCTCCAACTTTTACAGCAGCAGCAGCAGCAGCAGCATCATGCAGGCAGCAAGCAGAGTAAAGAGGTAGGTTGACATCATTCCCAACTGCCTGCCATTACCAAACCCGTTGGCCAGACAGAGCATGGAAGGCATGTGTGCTCCTTCCCTCAACCCCATCTGCTTCCAGACTGTGGTTAAAGCAGAGAGGAGAGGAGGAGGGGGGGGGGATCAAGTGCACTCATGCTTCTGATTAGCATGTCAGACTTGCTGGATAAATGGTAACAACTGACTGATACTGTGCTAAGAATACAGTGTCTCTTTCTCTGGAACCATCTGCACATTAAATGTATAATATTTTATAGACCCTGAGCCTCAGTCCATTGTTTAGTTTTTTTCAAGTAAACAAGTGTCCTATGCAACAAAGAGATGACCGTTCCTGTGAGCCTCGTGTAGGACATAATGAAAGGCAGAAGGGAGAAAGGCAGGAACACAGAGCACATAAATCTGAGAGGCTTTTCTCGGTAATTAACATGGAAATGGCAGAGGAAGAGAAGGCATGTAATTGTGAGATATCAGTGGAGAGAGCGCTCCCAGCTTTGTTGCCTGTGTTGAGTTTTTTTTTTCTCTCTCCATCTTTCTCGCTCTCTCACTCTCCTTCGCTCCCGTACAGTACAGTAGGGCTTGCTCATAGGCAGCAGCTTAATGCGTGTTAATGACTCGGGGATACAGGCATCACTGTGGACAAAGCAAATTATTATTGTGCGGTCAGAAGAAGTTCAAAGACAATCTGGGATTTTTTATTTATTTTTTTTTTTTTTTCGCTCATGTCCCCATTGAGTTCCATGTTTGGAGAGTGGAGGAAGCATAGAAAATTAAACCCCGATGTTAAAAGCACACACATCCACGCATGCTCACGCTCACACACGTCCGCGTGCTGTCGAAGCTTCCAACTTCAAAGTCGTAGCTCCCTAATTAATGAACTGCGGGCTTCAGTTTGGACAAGTTGTGGCGTGATGCTCCCATAAATCAACATGACAGCAGAGCTCCTCGGCCTCAGATAGGGCCTGTCACCAAGTCGCATCTGATGTAAACACTGGAGGAGCAAGGGAGAAAAGAGGGGGGAGGTGAGAGGCTGGTGGGGGGGAGGCAAGGAGGTGCAATTGATCAGTTGAATGGAGCATGAGAATAAAAGAAAAAACAACTTTTGAAGCATATTATGTATGATCACAGGAAATGGATGCAGCCTCGAGAGGCTCTCCCCCTCCACCGATGTTTTCTTTCTCTCCCCATCCCTCTCTCTCTTTTCAGTCGCATTTTCTAGCAGCCATCAAAAGACAGAATAAGAATTACGCAGCGACTCCCCTGTGGCTGCCAGACAATAACCCCCTGTTGTTGCTTTGTGCCTCTTTTATTTTAAAGACATCAAAATTTAGTTTTTCAAAGATCTTTAACTTTATATTTGAAGCTTGACAATAAAGGCCTGCCAGTGCCACTCTTTATCATTTGTCAGCGACTGTATTTTTCTCTCCCTCGTGCCACTTCTTGTTAACCTCTTATTTGGTCTATTGGGTCTAGGGTTTTTTTAATGTGTCTGCATGCTGGGAGCGCACAGGAGCTCCTGTCAGCTGATGGGACCAGAAGAAAAAAAAAATTTGAAGGGGAGAGTGTTAAATTCATTTGCAATACTCGATTTTTCTTTCTTCCCTTTTTTCTAAAAAGCCACCCTCTATTTATTTAGCGTTTTGATGAAAGACATTGTTCCCTGTGAACTCCCACCCCCGTAGCACTATTATCTTTGTCTCAGGCTGTCAGGGAGAACAGAAAACCACTAAAGACTTGAAGAAACTTCTCACACACTGATGGAAGGGAGAAAACAAGCAACCACCTTTCATAAATAGCACAGATCAGAGAGGATCACAGGCCACCTGCATGCCAAATTTCACAGAGACCTCTGTGAGATCTCTATCACGTCTCTCTCTCACTTTTCCCTCCACTCCTCCTGGGCTAGATCACACATGTGACTGTGAATGAACATGGTCACTTCTCAATTATGAACTTCCACCATCCACTGTCAACGCGCCTTCTCCCCCCTGATTCATCCAATGAGACGACCCGGCCCGCTGTAATACACCGCTGCCCAGAGCTTTTATTTTTAGTGAGCCAGTGCAGGAGCAGCAGTGCAGGGTGTGGGGCAGGAGGAGGGGAGGAGAGGAAGGGAAAGGAAGGCCGCTAGACCCCTTTTGACAAGCCGAACGGGGGTGGGCGGAGGGGACGCGTTTTATCTGGCCGCTTCAGAGCCGCCAGCGAGTGACCTGACAGCCACGTTGCAGCGAGACCTTTTTTGTATGCAGTCAATTGTGAGAAGTAAACAAAGTGGTGCATCCTGTGTTTGGTAACAGGGTGCGGTGCACAGCTTGGCAGCCCCTGCACTGCTTTTAGTGCCCCCACCTCTCCTCCCCCCCGCTTGACAACTGGCCTTGTGTACCCATAAACAGGCCTAGTGTGCCACTGAGTCTCAGGCTTGCTTCTTTTATCTTTATCTATTAGAGAATACAGAAGGTGTCCTGATAGATGGTGTTGTTTAATTGGAAATGATAGACATTTTGGAGTTGAGAGCAGGAATTGATGAAAGGGTTAAAAGTCATCTCTCTCCTCTGTGCCCCTGTTATCTAAATAACATCTCTCAGTTGTTTTGACTCATAGGAGATTGGGGATATTAGATAATTTCCTTCTATTTATTATTCTGACTTTGTCTTTTTCTGCTTTCCACTTTCTCCTCTGCTCTCATATCACTTTTTCATCCTATCAGAGTTCACACGTTTCACTTAGCAGAGCCAAAACGTTCCCCCTAACCCCTAAATCAGTAAAGACACACCAGCTTTTCATTACAAACTTCTCGATGAAACAGCCGCAGCGCAGTTAGATAAACAAAACAGCCATGTCTCAGCCAGTCCACAGTGTGTGATGGAACAAAGCTCGCTGCGCTAGCTGGTGGGAGAGTGTATCCCTGAGCTCAGCGCCATGCCTGGGAGAGTTGTGAGAGTTGCTGGGGTGGTTATTAAGCACTTTGATTTAGTCACACGTTGTTTGCTGAATTATGAATGGCTGTAATTAAATTCCTGTGGCTCTTATTATGAATGATTAACTATGTTGTTTCATTGTTTGTCATTTGCCTCCCGACTCCTCGTTAATTAAGAGAGAGAGATGTATACGCTACCTGTCTTAAGTGGGCCCAGACTAACCCACAGTAAAGAAAAAAATTATGAAAATTACAGCCTGCTATTGTGTGTGAGCACACGCTAAATCCATTCATTTTATTATTTTAAGAATTAAAAGGTTGTTCTAAAGTGTTCAATTTTACAACCTGAACTATGAACTCTGTGACCCCGCACTTCAAAAATGTTTTTCCTCGAAGGAATACATGAATCCAATGTACAAACCAGAAATTCAGCTTTACATGTTTGCACTGGCTGTTATGCTTTTATATATGTGTGTGTTTGCTGATGGTGTGCCTCTTTATCTTTGTGTGTGTTTATGTGTGTGTGTGCCACCAGCAGCAGGTGTCAGCACAGCAGTTGGCCTTCCAGCAGCAGCTCCTGCAGGTCCAGCAGGTCCAGCAGCAGCATCTGCTCAACCTTCAGAGGCAAGGGCTGCTCACAATCCAGCCTGGACAGACCGGCCTGCCGCTGCACTCCCTCACTCAGGGTCAGTACCTAAAATCACAGCACCGTACTGAACTACAGCACTTTGTCAAATCTCCTGTCCATCAGTCCTCAACTTCTCAACAGGAGCATTTGTGGTAACAAAACACCTCCTATTACCTCTAGTTTAGAGTGCTGCAGGAATGAGTCTGTGGTTAATACTTAAAAAATATACTTAATAAAACATTTAAACAAATGTTTTTCACATTTTGTTCTACAGCATAAAATACTTGAATGAATACCCAATCTGAGAACTTTGAAGCTTTTACATGTCTTATAAAAGGTAGTTGCATTTTTGGTAACATTAAACATCAGTAGGCCTACGCCAAACTTAAAGACTTTAAACTCACTAGTTCGCCTTTACAGCCTTGTTGTGTTTGTACTCGCATTCTTGCTAACTATGCTAAATCACTCATTGGTAGTGACATTGAATACCACAGTGTAGTTTGGTTATAGCCTTACGTTAGCTTTTTAATTCTGGCGATAGCATTTAAGCTTCAAAAATCATAAAAGTGGTGTAAATTTGTGAGGATTATCTTGCTGAATAAAACATAAATGAAACAACATAACAAAGTATAACAAACCTTTGTTTGGCACAGAGTTTATTTTCTGCAACAATCCAAAATCCAATGGAAAAATCCCATTGGCTTATTGTCAAAGGAACCATTGAGATGCTAACTTCCAGGTTGGCCTACAAAAATACATCATCCCTGCAGCACTCCATATGCTGCCTGCTGTTGAGTACATATTAGAGCCTGGGTTACAAAAACAGCGGACATTAGGATTATGCATCTGATATATTGGATGATACTGGCCTTGTATTTAAAAATATTGGTCAGTCAATTTCCTCCACCTGTTATTATGGGAGTTGTTCCCTGAACATCATTTTTGTTTTTGTTTTTCTTGAGAGAAACTATCTTACCTGATAACACTCATTTTTATGTGAGCTAGCTTTCATTTAAAGAGTCACATGATCATCATAAATACAAATGTTTTACAGGCCTTTAATCTCTTAACAGTTGTGGGAGAAACATTTGACTTTTTTGGAACACAGATGTTCCTGTTCATACTGATCTCATACAAAAACGATAAGCAGTCTGAGTAGCAGTCTCAGACTGTTAAAATATTAGTATTCCTATGTGTCTTCAAAGACCATAATGAGATTACTTTGCCTTTGACTTCTGTCATGCAGAGCTGTTGGTGTGGCATTGTAGAAATCGGTTTTCAGATACCAGTTTTAACATTGCAACTTGTGTGGGTGTATATCTCTGTATATTCAGCGTGGTTTTATCTGCTACTGTTATTGCTGTCCTCTACAATACGGGTACAAATTTGCTTAGTCAAAGTGAACAATGCACCACTTAAGTAAGTAACCACATACTCTACGTGGTTTCACTGATTCGGGACACACCTATTGTGAATCCTCGCTCAATACTTCCCCTTCAATTTACTAAATGGCATCTTATACTTCAGGTGTTTCTGGGTCTGGCAAGCTACACTTTCCTTGTGATCATCCTGGAGTTTAGCAGTAGTGATATATCCCCCTGTTTATAAATTGAGATAGAGTTTGATGCACACACTTTGTCCTTGAACTCTCTGCCCCATGTCTGTGATTGGCATCCTGGTGGCAGTCTCCTTCAGCCTGGAGGAAGACTGGATCTATTGTTCGTAAACTGCCAGTGAACTTGTCATTGTGAAACCGCCTGTTACTTGATAGGGAGTCAATACTTGTTGTTTGGCCAGGAAGTTTATTTCTTTATTTATTCTTTTAATATTTTGTTAAGGAGTGGTCGCCCTGTGACAAAGACGGCGTCACAAGGGTTTTTAGAACATGACATTGACTATTCATTCCCAGCTAAGACAAACAGTTTTGAAATAACAAGATAAGGGCGATAAGAACGGGAGGCTTTGGGGGGGTGCTTAGGTAATAGGCAAACACAAACAGGGTTTGTACAGTGGTGTTATTGTTTGGACTGGGTATGGAATCACTCATCCACTTGCAGACGATTGCCATGGGCACAGGCGTGGAGCGCTGCTGTGTTGTGAGTGTGCTTTGCTGAATTGCTCTGTGTCAGATGTCTGGCAAACACACACACGCCTTGAGTAAAGCATTATATGGGCAATATGACTAGGTGCTGTACTCTTGATAGATTTCACAACAGCCCCAGAACATCCTGTTTATACTGTGCCATCATCAAATGCCTCCAAGTCATCTCATCTTATCAAGAGAGGAGATCTATTAAATTTATATCCTTTTATAGTCAGTTTTCAGTACACACTTACATTTTTTAAATCTCTTTCAAAGAATACTTTTAATTCTGAGTGAGAAAATTATTATTAAAATTTGGTGATTTTCCACCATCAACAATGTATTGAAATGAATTGTACCCAATACTGAGGGGATAATTTTTTGAAGGTGTCATTTGCATAAATATCAAGATGAGGAACTGAATCTGCCTGTGCATAATCTGTGCTTTGTTTCAGTTTGTCACGACCAGTCGAACCTGGTTAGTTTGCCCTTGCAATCCATCGATGGTTAACTCTGTGCCTCCGACAGCTGTTACAACACTTAGGCTAGTGCTCCAGGCCCCCAGTTTGTCTTCCTATTCTACACATTTTCTGCTTGACTGTTTGAAGTTATTGATGACCTTTCTGTTTTCCACATCACTAAACTCTTTCATGCATCAGCGGGCCAGGCCTATGGTGCTCAGATCTAATCTGCAATATTCAGCTAGCAGTTAGCGGCTGCGTCGGAAGTGATGAGTTGATCTGCTCTGTTTGGGTCCTGGTGATTATGGATTCAAACTTCGGGGGCAGTAAATTGGCATGACTTTTTAACTGATGATTTTTATTTCTTTCATTTCAAAGTGTAGATATCAATATCATTATTTCAAAAAGCCCCTGTTATCACATGCAATCCACAGTGTCGTTTTTTTTTTCATGTGCTGAGACAATGAAAGGAACAAAAGGTTTCCAAATAATAGGTCACTGTAACAGTCATTAAGGAAGAGTAGGTGTGCAATCTGCAGTTGTGTTTACGGCACTATTATGCAGTTTACAGCTCATTTTTGCATCAGTCTCCTGCTCAGTTACACTGTTGGCTGAGACAGATTAATCACAGTGGGGTTTTTTTTTCTGTCAAAACGATGGACCGAAGGAATGCATTTGAATTAGCTTTTCAAAAATTTGATATCACTAATTAAGTATAAACTTGTAGATAGGCGTTTTGAGTGAAAAACAATTGCTCACATTATCTGCAGTATAATTTGTTTCTCTTGTCGTAAATTCTTTTGACATTAATGTTCAAAGTCTTGGAAACAGCCAGACGGTATCTGTTATAAATTACAACAATGTGTTTGGGGAGGATGTAACTCTCATAAATATAAATTTGATCCCCCCCTCTCCCTCCCCCTCCTCACAAAAAGCCTGTCCTCTTGACCTGATAAGTGAGTCAGGCTCACGTTGCTCAGGTGTTGTATGAGTGTGTGTTTGCATGTTTATGCGCATCTGTGGCTGTGTGTGTCACAGTGGTGGGCAGTGTTTGTGCATGTCCTGGCTAAAGCGGCCACTCGCCCTCCGAGGTTGCTCTGCAAGAGAGTGCGTTCTTGTAGCTGCACAACATCATTTAAGCTGTCTCGCAGAGGCCAGTGGGACAGTGACAAGACAAATTTGTCGGTAATATGAAAGCAAAGAATGTGGCGAGCCATGAAGTGCTCACAGAACAGCAGCACATCAGGGACAGCGGTGGGTAATGCGGCTGACCTGTCAGTGATTGATACGTCCAGCAGTGGGCTACTGGTAATAGTTCCAGCAGCATTAGGACAGGACATATTTCAGGCCTAAGGGGTGCATATCAGCAGGCCAGTGATTACGGCAACATAAACAGGGGTGCAGTAAAGGTCCCAGCCTGACGGAACAATAAACTAATAGCGATGTCACTGTCCCCCCATGGCACCGGCACTGTGTGTGAGAAGTAACAGCTCGGTTTAAAGAGCCCGGAGCACAAGGGGCCATTTTTTATTTGGGGGATGATGGCCTGCAACTGATGTCATTATGAACCTTAAATCAACTTTCTGCTTGCTTGAACATGGTCACCTGGGTACAGGGGGACAAGGACAGGAAAAGGTTGAAGAGCTCGGCCTGTCTCGGTGCCAGAGCTACCTGCAGAGGTAAAATTGAGTTGGGAGGCCGGTGATCAATCAAGTGTCCCAACAACATACATTTTTTAGAGTGCTTGTCCGTATTTCCCAGTCGTAATGAGTGAAATAGTTGTGTTGAAAAATGGAAAGAGGAAAGATAAACCAATCCGGCATTTAAAGGATGGACAAACTGGGGACCCAAGGAAGAGGATTTACAGATCAATGTCATTACATGTCCCACAGTAATCAGATGGAGAGAAACCCAATGCATTTTGTCCAAACACAAAATATAATACCCTCTGAGACATTTGTGTAATGGTATTTTATTGTCATTTATGTGGAATCATGAGCCATAGCTGTTGTTGCGTTTGAAGAGGTTAGGGTTAGATAGGAGTACCGAGAGGGAAGAGGCGAACAGAGAGCAATAAAACTACAGACTAGATCCAGAAAGAGACAGCCTGGTCCCACTCCGTTACCTCTCTCATCAGACCGGTCTATCCACTGCGGTTTCATCTGAGTAAACAGTGGTGTCGGGGTCACCAGGACTGCTGGGTAATTGAGCCAGTGTGGGCCGCCCTGTCAAGCACATCGGCTAAAAATACATCGCCCACTGTCACCGGGCACCAAGTGGGGGGAAAATGATTGTTCCCGCTGTCGGAGCGCAGGACACTCGCATCACCAGTGACCTTCCGCTTCTAAACCAGCCATCGTAGAAACAAAAAAATACTTTTCCTCCAAAGTCTCCTTAAGCTATCAAAACAACAATGGGTCCTTTGATAATGCAACTGGAAATCAGCCAGCAGTGGATTAGCATGCTATAACACAGAGCGCAATATTAAGCATGTTTAGCCTGTCATGAACGTGCACTTCGATTAGGGCACATCAAGGCATTGAAGAGAATAAGGGAGAATACAGGCAGGCAGAATGGAGCGAGGGTGTTGAAATATTCCAATGAGGAAAGACGCTCCTTGGAACGTGGAAAGGTTATTGATTTGTCCTGTAATCATTTCCTGCTCTTTGATATGCAAACGATCTAGTGTGAATTTACAGCAATCCTATCAGACTCATTTCACAGTTCTTAGCCCCTGCGTCTCTCCGGAGTCCTCCGCCTCATTAGGCCAATGTTCTCCATTACCAGCATAATTAAAATCTTTAGTAGCTTATCAAATTAAAAATATTTTTGCTGATCGTATTGAGATCTTCACCTCACAGTTATTTGCCACAACAGGAATAAATTAAGACTAAGCATTTTGCACACAATGTGTTACAATCTGGTGCTTGAAAGGAGCACTTCTGGTATCTATAGAGCTGGTGATGAGAAACAGGGAGGGAGGGGGGGGGGGATCCGGAGAATATAAACCCAAGTAGATAAGCATGTGCAAATC